CTTGGTGCTGAAATTATCTGTCTTCCTAACTAGGTATGAGCACCCCTTCCCCACCCCCAGGATTGGCCTTTTTTTTTTTTCGGGTCAGTAGTAACTGCAGCTATCATTTATTGAGGGTTTCCTGTGCGCCACACACTATGCTAAGCACTTTGTAAATGCTGTCTTAGTTAATCTTCACGTCTGAGAAAAATGAGTAAGTGGAGGCCCCACCACCACCGAGCCGTCCTCATTGCGGACCCTGGCTACCGCCCAGGTCTCTCAGCTGGTCTTCCCGATTCCTCCTTGTGTAATTCTGCTCAAAGTCTAAGTCAGATGCTGTTACTCCTCTGCTCCAACCTTCCAATTCGATTAGAATCAAGTCCAGTGTACTCACTGGGGCCTACAAAGTCCTAGCGATCTTGCTCCTTGCGACCTCTGACTTCATCTCCTAAGAATTTTCCTCCTGTTCCGTCTAGTTGTCCCAGCTGCCTTGATGTTCCTCAGACAGACCAAACTCTTAACCTCAGAACACTCGCACTTGCCATTCCGCTTCCAGTGGTGTGCTGGTACATATTTACCAAATGGTTCTCGGGGGGAAATAAATTATTGGAGCATTTGCTAACTTCTGTGTATAAATGCTCTCATCAAAGCGGATTTCAAGCTGCAGAGATGCGTGCACTCAGACCAAGTGGAAGCCAGCGCCAGCACACCACTGCCTTTCCCTGCAGCTCTTTGCCTACGTACAAGCTCCTGGCTGACTGCCTCCTTCCTGTCCCACCTCCAGTCCCGTCTCACTAGAGACGAATCTTCTAGCACGTATGCCCCACATTCATACCTCACCTGCCTGTCATTATTTATTCTTCTTACCCTGCCTTATTTTCGTAGCACTCATCACAGCCTAGCATGTATTTACTTATCATCAGCGTCGTCCCCTTAGAATGTAAGCTTCACAAACAGGTGCTTCTTTTATTCAATGCTGCATCTACAACGCCTAATACGTAGAAGGAGCTCAATCAGTATTTGCTTTCAAATGAAAGAGGTGAAGTAACCTGCCCAAATCACACAGCTATTCACTGTAGAACAGGTACTCTAAGCAGTGAAGCTACCAGTCTCAACCAAGCTGGATGGCTCTTAATGCCAATGTCTACATCAGGGCCCGTGTGGTGAACAGCAGCACACACCAAATATCAGTCACTGTCTGCAGGAGCTGTCGTGCAAGTGGCTAGAGACAGGCTGTGAGACCAAACTGGGTCCAAAAGTGCGAGCTGTCAAGGGCAACCTGGATCAAAGGAGATCATCAGATATGAGACATGGTGGATGGGGGTGATTATCATCGCTGTTAATGCAAATAATACCCAAGTGGATTTTTTAAGCGATTGCATAATACCTAATTATGTAACAATACATCACAGGGGAAGGGAAGATTCAACCATAAACTTCCCACACAGAAATAACCACAGATACTGGAGACTGTGCCAGACTTTTTCTATGAAAATATATTTTACCGTACATTGTTAGCTGCCTTTTTTTTTTTCCCCCAATTAACAATATACAAGCATCTTTCTGGGTCAATAAACAATGCTTCTTCACATGTTTAGTGGCTTTACTTGTTCTCCATTGGTGGACATCGTTGGTTTTTGTTACTTTAAACTTTGCAATAAATCTTATACAGAAATTTATGAAAAAATCTGTTGATTAAGGTTAAGTTCCGAACACTTTGCCCCAAATTCTTACCACCACTGTGCATTATTCCTCCAGCATCATAATACTTCATATTTTCTGGGCACTGTTGTAAACACATGCTGTGTATCAACACACTCATTTCTTACCAAACCCCATGAGGGGATGGTTACCCCCACTTTGCAGATGGGGAAAGTGAGGTAAGTGGCCGGGCTGAGATCTGGTCCAGATGGCTTTGGAATCTGTGCTTGTGGCAGAGTGACTACAGGCCCCACGGTGGCCAGGTGTGACAGGTTGAACTAAACCTCGCTCCACCAGTGGCCTAGCCTCACCTGTGAAGTGGTCGCAAGCAGAATGAGCTCCTAAGGTGGTGGTTTTTTGTTTTTTGAACACTTAGGAAATTGTGTCACAAAACAAAGTCTAGTGATAGTTCCATCTACAGTTATTTAATGCAATGACTCAGTGACGTCCTTTGTTTCACTTTGCAATACTTGACATGCAGGCTTAAGAGTTTGTGGCCATCTGACAGGACTACCCGGAATCCTATCCAGTCATAGAATATCCAGGCCTCTCTCACCTCTTTATGTGCCTCCTTTTTCGGAATGAGAAATTCTTTCCTTTCCAAAAGTCTCCTAACAAGACTGCTCACTGGCCAAGCTCGTGTCACGTGCTCATTCCCAAACCAATCACGGGCAAGGGTTTCTAATGACCCGGCAGAGGGGAGCCAACCACAAAAATTCCAGCATTAAATTTTTTGGAAAAGTCTACCAGTCATGCTTACCTTGTCTTGTTTCTTCTGGATCAAGTACCACGAAAGCTTAAGATAAATTACTTTACTGACATAAAGAGAGAAATAGCAGTTTAATGAACATTTACTGTACATTTCAACCAAGTGAAAGCCCCTATGCTAGGCACTGAGGGAAATACAAGTCAACTTCTCTGGTCTTTCCCTACTGGGGTAGAGGATACAGGAAAAATAATGAGCTACTTTGCAAGGCAGGTATTTTATAAGCACCATATTTCATGCACAATTAAAGTATTATGACTAGATGGGAGATTCATTCAGAATGAAATTTTTGCTTCAAAGGCCACACACCTGATTTTCAGGTTTGCAACTGTTGGAGAGCCACGGAGGGACGGCGTTCCAGCAAGCTCGGGGAACCGCCTCAAGAGCCTTAGCAGGAACAGACCCGCTGTCCAAACAGCTGCCGCATCTCACGCCCAAGCGTCCGGCAGAGAAAGCACAGGTCGGACCAACCAAAGCACAGCAGTGATGTTACTTTCCCATAGACTGAAGGGCAAACTGCTGACAAACAAAACGGCTTTTTAAATTACAGTATAACATGCACTCAGCAAAGCGCACAAACGTCAAATGTGCAGGTCGGATTAGGTTTTTATACTTGAGTGGTGGTGACTTGAGTACGAAACGCACTAGTGGGTGGCACAGAAAGGGCTCAGGAGTATTACCTCTTAGTGTCCCATCTGCCAATTTGGTAAGTGAAGAATACAATCTTGGTTTCTCTGTTTTTTGTTTTTTCATGTGTATTGAAACTTTTTTTTTTCTGTGAATACGTACTTTGACCTTTTCGTTCTTAAAATATTAGACTTTTTTCTAATTTGTTAAGAGCCCTTTATAGCTTGACGCTCATTCTTTCTTATAATGCAAATATTTTTCCCAATTTGTCCCTTGCCTTTCAAATTTCTTTACTTCCCTCTGGCTTTTAATATTTATGTGAATGAGTTTTTTGCTCTTTTCCTTCGGATTTCAGACTTTGACATTCTGCTTAAAACAAAACAAAAACAAAAAGCTTTTGACTCCTGCTTCCTGAAAAAACAAATTATTTCACTATTAAATATTCACCCATATTTTAGTATGGAACCCTTATAATTTAATTTCTATTTAAATCTTTAATCCACATATAATTTATCTTAGCACATGGCATGAGACCAAGATCTAACCTTTTCTGAAACAGTCGGTTCTAATATTGTACTCTAAATAATTCATCCATTTGACATTCACTTAAAATGACATCTTTATCATAAATTAAATTTTCATGTTTTTCTTTTTTCTACTAGGTCATGAGAATGTCCAGAGGACTTGAGTTTAGTCAACTTCCCTCACTGCATAGGGAGGCCCACTGTAACGCATGTGATAGCCATGGCAGGAGGGAAATACTCATATTCTACACACTGGTGTGTATTTCTAGACTGACTTAGTCTCTCACTGATCACTCAGCATATTTCTACCATGAAGCTGTACTTCTTGTGAAGTTACACCTTCATATTCCCCTGCCAGGAGCAGCCTACCATGGCTTAAAATTTCTAATATGCCCTCATACATCCATTAATTTGTTTGATAACACTATTCAGTGCCTATTCTGCACCATGTGCCACGCTAAGTAGGAAACCAGACAAATGCAACTCTTTCCATGATGTGGCATAATATAATAGCTGGCAGGAGACAATCTTTGAATATTTACACCGAAAATTCATCGCTGTTGTTTGGTGCTACAAAATATAGCACAATAACCTTTCTAGCTGAGGAATCTAATTTCCAGATCTGGTTGTTTCTTCATACATTTTGCGAGGCACAGCCCAGAAGAGCAGGTTCCAATTTCCAATGGGAAATACCAAAAAGAACCTTGAGAATTTCCTTCAGAGCATTTACAAGATGATGATATGAGGAGTAGCAACAGTTAATAGAGAGACCTAGAACTTTAGGGCACAAATTCCATCAGCTCAACCCACTTGGAGATAGTCCTTTAAATCCTCAGGCCTATATCCTGAGCAAAGCCAGTCCCATGAGATCTGAAACAAATTTAGGAAGGTCAAGGATGAGGCAGAAAGGCGACGCCAGCATGGGGTCATTTTGACTCTGAAAGGGAAAACCAGCTGTGTATACAGCTCTTTGTGTCCCCTACCCTATTTTTTCTGTGATGTCCCTCTTTTCTCCATTTGACAGGTTTTAAACTGTAGGCAACTGTGCAGAATAGCTTTAATCACTCAATCAAAAAAAATCTGCCTTATGGAGAAAAAGGAAAAAACAAACAAACAAAAAACTGTGACTTTTTCCAAGCAGTAAATTCTACATGCACCGTGTGGCTGGAGAGTCAGCAATAATGATGAAACCACAGAGCACCCGATTTCCAGCTCAAACTGGAAAGGACTTGTGTGTGTGTGTGTGTGTGTGTGTGTGTGTGTGTGTGTTTAAACGAAACTATATGCCTGAGGGCAGCTGAATATAAATAATTCTTTTCCTTATAAAAAATTTTCTCTTAAAAAAAGCCCTCCCCCATTGAACCCACTCTGATGGTAACAAACAAATCTGACTTTACAATATCCCATAAAAAACCTACACTGTGTTATTCAAGAGAATAAATTTAATACAAAAACAAATGATTTGTACTTTTACATTAGAATAAGTTTGATATTTCTGAAGTCTATGCTGAAGAAAGAAGATGCCAGCACATTCATTTGTCACCATAACAAAGCTAAGCTTTCTAAAGGGAATCTCTTTAGCAGGGGATCAACTATGGTCTGCTCTTAGAAGATTTCCCAGATGCTCCTATTTCAGTTCTTTAAAAGGTAGCTTCTGTTTCTCTGAGAAACAAAAACCATCTAATATTACATGAAAGTACCACAGATACCTGAAATGCAAAATAACCAGCAGACCACGTTCTTGTTCCACAGAATTAGCAGGCAGAGATCACCCGTTTCTGAGATCGTTTATTTTACTCTTTCTTTTTTTTACTGGCTGGACTGTCCAAAACCTCAATCTTGCCTTTTCCCTCTTCTGAATGAGGAAGCTTAATGTTATCTATGGTGACTTCGGAAGAGGTGCCGTCATCTTCCTCCTCAGATTCGGAGCTGTCCTCTGAGCTGTCCTCCGAACTCTCTTCTGAACCATCCTCTTCTTTTGCATCGGATTGATTCATCTCAAACAAGGCCACATCCTGCCAAAAGCGCCATGTGAGAAATTTACTCCATGCCAGTTGCCTAAAGACTTGTGATAACAGCCCTGGGAAGAACCAACATTTAGCACAAATACTGAAGCACAGGGGACAAGAAGTGTTTTTAATACAATATGGCACTTTTTTCTCTCAGCTGCCACAGTCCACCATAAGGACGTACATTTAGTACAAGTCTAAAGAGTCCCCCCACAACCCGATTCTATATATCCTGAACACATTCAACAATATGTGCTCAACAGATATTAATAAAGGCACCTGGGTGGGTTAAGTGCCTGACTCTTGATTTTGGCTCAGGTCATGATCTCAAAGTCGTAGGATCGAGCCCCATCTCGGGATCTGCACTGGGCACAAAGCCTACTTAAGATTCTCTCTCTCCTTCTGACCCTCCCCAGCTCATGCACACGTGTGTGCATGCTCTCTAAAAAACAGCAAAAACTCCCAAATATTAACAAGTCCTACCATGAGCCAGGCCCCACACTAGGGCCTAGAGACTCCACAAGAGCAGCAACAAAATCCTTGCAACTTACGTTTGTGCAACTTAGGTTTTTGAGCAGGGATTGGCAAATTACAGCCTGGAGGCCAAACCCAGCCCACTACCTGCTTTTGTTTAACTTGTGGGCTAAGAATGTTTTTTCTTTTTTTAAGTTTTCAGTGGTAGGAAAAAAAATCAAAAGAATATTTCATAAACCATAAAAATTATATATATTCAGATCTCAGTGTCCATAAATAACGTTGATAAAATGTGCCTATTCATGACATTTCATCTACAGGTGCTTTCGTGTGAAAACGGCAGAAATGAGCAGTCACAAGAGACAGCACAGTCCACAAAGCAGAAGTATTTACTAGCGGGCCCCTTCCACAGGATCTTTGCTGACCGCTGTTCTAGCTGGGAAAGAAAAACAACGAACACCGACGTAGAAAGCACAGTGTGGGGCAGTGGAAATGAACAAAGGTAAAGCAGGACGGGATAAGCTACTAACGGGCCATCGGGGAGAAGCCTCTTATTGAGGTGACAGCTGAGGAGAGAGAGAGGGAGGGAAGCTGCAGAAATGTGGGGAAGAGCCTTCTCCACAGAGGGAACAGGCCAAGGAGCAAGGGGGCTGAGCGGGAGCACAGGAAAGAGGGGGCCCGGCGGGAGGGAAGGGGGGTGGGGAGCTGGAGGCAGACCCCACAGGCCCCGGAAGGACTGAATTCATCAGAGATGTGATGGGATCGTGGGCCTGGGCCACACCCAGTGTGAAGAACAGATTCTAAGAAGAAAGGGCAGAAGCAGGGGAGCCTGTGGAGAGGTCACTGCAATAGTCCAGCGGGGAGACCACGATTCCGTGGACCAAGGGTGGCAGCTGCGGACGTCATGCAGAGTGGCTGGCTCTGGGAATATTCTGGAGGTAGCGATGACCAGAGCTGCTGCTGAATGGACTATTATTCTCAACAACGGCGTTGGCTCTGTCCAGACACAAGGGTTATAAAGGCAACCCCGGGGCAGAAGTAAGATGTGAGTCTAAATTGAGAGGATTTTCCACGTGGCTTATGTAACCAGCTATTGCATTAAACACATCATTTATTTTTGCATTTTCAATCAATCAGACTATGATTACTTCTTTTAGGCTTGGATGGAAAAAAAAATTCACTTAGGACACTTAGTAAATTAATGCTTCAAGATAACAAATGTATTATTTGACCTTAAAAGCCCTTCTATGATTCTCTATTACTAAAGTTCTAAGCTCCACCCAAGGAAGCTTACTGGTCAGTAAGATCCGTAATAATAAAATGACTGAATTCCCACGCAGTGCTGGAAACGTGAGCTGAATTTGCAAGAAGGAAACTAACACTTGGAATTAAAACGGGAAAGTCCTCTCTCGTAGATGACGAGGCATACCAGTAAATTTTACTTGATGAAGTGAAAACAAAGCATAGCTACCATTTGTATCACTTTTCCAAGACTCTCATCAATGTCTTCAATATTGAAATGCCCAGGCGGTGCAGCGGCCATTTCTTTTCTTAGCTTTTCATTCGCCTGAGCCATCTGTGGGAGAAAGGTCTGCACTTGGTCCAATACTAAGGAGAAAAAAGAGTGTATCAATATTTGTTAGTCTTTGGCCAACCTTCAAATTTTAAAATCCAGAATTTCCTATAAAACACTTCTGATTTCAAAAGTAATCAGGGACGCCTGGGTGGCTCAGTCGCTGAAGTGTCCGACTTCAGCTCAGGTCATGACCTCATGGTCTGTGAGTTTGAGCCCCGCGTCGGGCTCTGTGCTTACAGCTTGGAGCCTGGAGCCTGCTTCGGATTCTGTGTCTCCCTCTCAATGCCCCTCTCCCACTCATGCTCTCTCAAAAATAAATAAAATGTTAAAAAAATTTTTTTAAAAAGTAATCCTAATGACAATAGCTACAATTTAGAAATCTCAAATTTCTTCCATTTAAAAAACTTCCATCCTTTTTCCTGAATCCTTAAAGCAATAGGACTACACAAATTAGCGAATATTTCTCAATGTTTGTGTTTTCGTATATCCCCAGAACTGCACATTTCTAGAATGCTGGCATTCAACCAACAGTAACTGAATAAGGAGAAAGTATGACGTAATAGTTACATGCACCACGCTCTGAGGCTTTGCCGTCAGGCTGACGAGGTTATTCGCAGAACCCCAGTTCTACCTCCTGCCTGAATTACGTTGGGCGTGTTAACTAAGGAGTGGTTGTTCCTACCTACCCAACATGTTTGCCTTTTTTCCCATAACCCTCACCTTCCTTTTAAGCTCTGTCATTCCTGGTCACTCTTGTGCCTTACCCTATGCAGAGCTGTTCCACAGCTTTGGTTACCAGGCTTTGGTTCAATACCACATACAGCGAAACTGTGACCTAGCCAGGCCAATGAGAGATCGCCCTGGGACTTTGGCTTGAACTGAGGAGAAAGAGATCCCTTCTTTCTGAGTACTGAGCAAATGACTGGTTGAGCTGCTGATAAACTGGGCAGCTTGCCACATGGGTAGGAAGGGCCTGTTCTAGATTTAGCCAACACCTAGGAAAGCAGAGCTAAGAGTCAGGGCAGCAGACCCCGGATGGCAGCGAGCACCTGAGGGGAGGGGTACCTGAGATCGCTGCTCCCTGTCCCCACAACCAAACTGGCCAACATAACTTATTTTTTGGCTTAAGGCAATGGGAGTTGGAGTTTAGTCATACGCAACCACAGGTGTCCTAAATAAAGTTAATTTAACCATTCAATACCTCAATTTAGGGGTGTCTGGCTCAATTGGTTGTGTTCAACTCATGATTTCAGTTCAGATCATGATCTCACAGTTCATGGGACGGAGCCCCGAGTCAGCCTCTGTTCCGAGAGTACAGAGCCTGCTTAGGATTCTCTGTCCCTCTCTCTTTGCTCCTCCCCCATGCATGCACATTCTCTCTCTCTCTCTCAAAATAAATAAATAATCAAAACCTTAATTTACTCATCTGTAAAACAGGGGTAATAACTATACTGTGCTTAGGGGAGTCAATAAACAAGGTATGCCTAACGGCATTAGCTCTCAAAAGAAGTCCAGCACATAACTGTGCACGTGAGTTCTCAAAACTTGTAAAGTCACTGACATAGCTATGCAACACACGATTGAAATGTCCGGAGGACAGAAGATGAAAAGAAAGAAGGTGGTAAAGGTCAAGAAATGGCCTTTAATTGTAAAACAGGGCTGCCAAAAGATGAAATGACGTTATTTACATACAAAGCCCCACAGAACTGCAATCACAAGACATGAAAAACATTTTTAAAAAGACTCAAATGAAACTCTACGGTCGGAATACATGGTAAGCAACTCCTTCAGACACTAAGCCCCTGAGCAGTCCCAGGGCAACGACAAATAGCTCGGGCCAGACTGGGGTTCACTCTACTACTTAAATGGGCAAAATTTAACATCATAGAGGGCTTGAGAGAGAGAAAGGGGTAAGATGAAGGGAGGGAAAGATACTTACAGGGACTCCTCTCTATCCGAACCGTTTGAAGAGTGGAAGTTTTTCTGTGATTAGGCTTGGGGTTGATGAGTAGCCTGTCCCATATACCTGAAAGCACAACGACACGTAATTTACTAGAGCGTAAGGAGACAGCAGCCGGTGAGCAAACTTGCCACCACCACGCCCAAGTCTTGAACATTCCAAAGTCCCCAAGACCTTCTTAGAAAGAGGCCCTCCAAGTTCCACTGCAACATTTTACTTCTTTACAGACACCCAGCTCCCCTTCCTTAGGCCTGTCTCATACATCTGCACGTGGCACCGATGCTAAGCATTAAGTGCAAACTAACCTGCATTTGTGTGGATCAGAAATCCATCAGTGACAAATGAGTTTCTGCCACAAAGGGACAGAGGAAGCAGTACAGATACACTAATAGTTAAGCGGAGCCAGAAGTGGTTTCATCAGACAAATTATTTAACCTCTTGGAGCAATCCTTTATTTATAAAGCACACCTGCCTTGTCAGTGGACCTTCATTAAAGATGTCCAACCTAGGGGCTCCTGGGTGGTTCAATCGGTTAAGCGTCTAAGCTCAGGTCACGACCTAACGTGAGTTCGAGCCCTGTGTTGGACTCTGTGCTGACAGCTCAGAGGCAAACGCCTGCTTCAGATTCCATGTCTCCTTCTCTCTCTGGACCTCCCCCACCCACACTCTCTCTCTCTCAAAAATAAATAAATATTAAAAAAGAAAAGAAAAGATGTCCAACCTAGAGAAATGAGCCCTTCGAAAACTTTCTGTTGTCCCTCCCACCCCCATACACCTTTTCGGCCCCCTCACTACTCCTCCCCAAATCAACCAACTCTTCAGCCCATCAGAGCTCAGAAGACAGGGTCTGAGTTTTTCAAAACTCAAGGCTTTGATCACCCTGTTTCCAACAACCGGAAAACCTCTTCACTCAAGTACAAAAATCCTGTCCACCCCCAAAGCAGAGTTCAACAAATATTCTTTTATTACTACTTTGGGTCTAACGATTGGATTAGCATAAAGAATCACATCAGTCTGGAGCTAGACTGATTGTATTCAAATCCCAATTTTGCCACTTTCCAGCCTCACGACCTCCAGCAAGTTACTTATCTGTAGGATACACTGTGACTCAGTTTCTCACTTAGAAAAGAGATAAGGATCCTCTGAACAGGGTTTTTGTGAGGATTTAATGAGTTAATTAATTCCTGGGCCACAGTAAGCACTACATAAGCTTTGGCTCTTATCATAACTCTTTGGGATGTTCTGGGTTCTCACTGAATGTCTTCAAGCTGAGAATTAGCTCAAGCCCTTAGACCCATTCTCCTTATAAAAATAAATAAATAAATTCAATAGGTACTACTACCTCCATTTTCCAAATGTGAAAACTGGGGCGCCAGAATGTAAACAACTCTCCTATAGTTTCATAGTTAATCACTCCTATAGTTTCATAGTGGAGTTGGGATTTGAATCCATGCTTTTTAACTCTACTACGGTGTCTGAAATCCTATGTGGCTTTCCCGGACCCAAGTGTCCCTCCACAAGAGAGAGGAAAGGCACTAAGGGGTGGTTCTGTAAACACAGAGGGGTGGGTGTGGGGGTTAATCCACAATAGTCACCTGCTCCCTCCATCCGCCAGGTGCTGGGACCCGGACAGCCGACCTCAGGCCCTCCTCAACCCCCCTCCCCCCCACCCCCGCTTAGGGGAGGTGTCCCGCTGCGCCGCTCCGCAGAGTCGGTGCCCACTACCCTGCAGAATCTAAGAACCTCCCCGGGCCCGCGGCCGCGTGGCCGCCCTGGGGCCTCCGAACCCCAGCCACGCCGTGGCGGTCACGCTGAAGTCCTGCGGCCACCCCTGGGCGTCTCTTCGGAAGTGCCGGACCCCGGCAGGGAGCCGCCAGCCGGTCCCCCGGCTCACACGCCCCCCGCCGCACGTGAACACTGCATGCCGACGCGACCCGCCCGCCCGTCACCTCCGCAGCCGCCGCTTCCCGCCGTCAGCAGCTCCTTAGACACCGAGATCCCCGAGTAGTCCCGAGGGGAAGAGGGAGAGCCGCCCGACCGGCGCTCGCCGCCGACCTCCATGCCCCTCGCTAGCTTTGAGGGCCAGCCCACCCAGGCCCGGATGCAGGAAAGAAGTCGGGCAGGGGCGGCTCCAAGGCCGCGATTGGACGAAACTCGGAAGTGGGCGGGGATAGGGCAGCCCGCGGCCAGGGCGACACCTGGTGGATCCTCGAGGCCATTCCTGTGGTGGGAAAAAAAAAGGTTCGGCCTTCTGAGGCCCCGACACTGAATAAAAGAGTTAGCAAAACTTGATTTTAGTCAAACGATCCGGGCAACAGCGCACCATGGGGCTGTCCTTCTCTTCGTTCTTTTATTTTTTTATTTTTAGATTGTGGTTAAAAAAAACATACGCGACATAAAATTTAGCATCTTAACCATTTTAAAGTGTACGGTTCAGAAGTGTTACCTGTGTTTACATGGTTATGTACAAGATCTCTTGACTTTTTCATCTTGCAAAGCTGAAACTGTGTCCATTGAGCAACTCTTCCTTATTGTTATCATAATAAAAACTTTATATTACAACCAAGTTCTAAAATGTAGGGCACAAAAAATTATGGGAGAAATGACAGCAGGCACTGAAAACACTGATTGATGTATTTTAAAAACTGAGTTCACTCTCTTTCTATTTAAAATCAACTCTGTCTGGAGATCCTTCAGGGAAGGACAAAACGTTTTTTTCTTTATATTGCCAGTGCTTCACTTGGAGCCAGGCACATAGTAAATGATTAATCCATGTTTAGCGAATGAATGGAGAGAAGCTGAACAAATGAATAATTGTGAATTGTTTCATTGATTGACGGATCACCCCTGTAAAACTGGCTTCGGGGCCTTAGAAATGTCTTCAGATCTTTGTTTGTGAATTGTTGACAGAGATCAGAAGCAGCCCTAGGTACAATGCTGTACAAAACTAATGGAGCTATTTGTAACAATAACTTAGAAATGAAGACGTTCATATCTAGCCAAGATAGAGTGGAAGATGCACTGGCAGAATTTAGTCTCCCTCTTAGGAATAATGTTAATCAGAAAAGCAGTTTTATAAAATATGACAATAAATGTAAAGCATAGTTTTTCTCGCCTTTAATATCTCTAAAAGATAATTGTTTAGATTTTTAAAAAATATTATACGGTTTATAACAAATGTAGAAGTAAAATACACAAGACGAGAATAGCACAGAATGTGGAGGTAGTAAATCTATTGTAAGGATCTTATTTTTCAGGGGAATCTGGCTAGCTCAGTCGGTAGAACATGTAACTCTTGACTGTGGAGTCATGAGTTCAAGTGACACCTCAGTTAGAGTTTATTTAAAAAATATGTAAATAAATAAATAATATAAAAAGGATCTTATATTTTATGTGAGGTATTTTAATAGGATTTAAAGATAGATAGCGATAAGGTAAAGATTTATATTGCAAACACTAGAGCAACTCCTAACAAAAAATTAAAAAGTGGAATAGCTAATCAGCCAATAGTAGAGATAAAAACGGAGCTGTAAGGTATAATCAATGAGTCCAAAAGAAAACAGGATAAAGGAAAAAAGGAGTAGAGAACAGATGGGACAAATAGAAAACCAATAAGAATATGGTAGACTTAAATTATACCCATTTCAGTAATTAGATTAGCTGTAAATTAGTCTAAGATTTAAAAGGCAAAAATTGTTAGACTGGATAAAACAAGACCTTACTGCATACTGTCAGCAAGAAGTTCCCTTTAACTGTAAAAACACATAGGTTAAAGGTCAAGTGATGGAAAAGATAAACTATGCAAATATGAAACAAAAATCAAGTCAGAGTAGCCACATTACTAGCAGACCAAGTAGATTTCAAAACAAAGTGCTATAGACTAAATGTTTGTGTCCTCCCAAAATCTGTATGTTGAAGCCCTAACCCCCGCCCCCCCCAGTGTGGCTATATTTGGAAATAGGGACTGTGAGGAAGTGACCATGATTAGATGAAGTTGTAAGTGTGGGGCCCTGATCCAATAGGATTAGTGCCCTTATAAGAACCACCAGAGTCCTTCTGTTTCTCTCCCCACATGCACACACACCAAGGAAAGGCCATGTGAACACATGGTAAGAAGGCAGCCTTATGCAACCAAACAGAAGAGCTCTCACCAAATATCAACGCTGGTAGAAACTTGATCTTGGATTTTCCAGCCTCCAGAACTGTGAGAAAATTAATTTCTCTTGTTTAATTGTGGTACTTTGTCATAGCGACCTGAGCAGACCAATACACCAAAGATAAAGAGGGACATTTCATAATGATAAGGGGGTAAATTCATCATAATTCACAATAATTGTGAGTGCATCTCATAACTGACCTTTGAAGTATAAGAAGGAAAATGTAATAGAACTAAAAGCAGAAGTAGACAATATTATTATCATTGTTGGAGATTTTGACCCTCTTCTCTCGGTAGTTGGTAGAATAAAGTATACATAAACCAGTAAGTATAAAGAAGCCTTGAGCAAAATTATCAACCAACTTAACCTAACTGACATGCAGAACACTTGACCTTGCAACAGCAGAATACACATTGTTTCAATGGCAACAGAATAATCAATAAGACTGATCATATGCAAGGCCATAAAACAAGTCACAAAACATTTAAAAGATTGAAGTCGTACAGGAGCTCAGTCAGTCCCACTCTGGCTCAGGTCATGATCTCCTGGTTCGTGGGTTCAAGCCCTGCATTGGGCCCTGTCTGACTGCTCAGAGCCTGGAGCCTGCTTCGGATTCTTTGTCTCCTTCTCTCTCTGCCCCTCCCCTGCCATGCTGTGTCTCTCTCTCTCTGTCTAGCAAAAATAAATACAATGCTTAAAAAAATTTTTTTAAAAGATTCAAGTCATATAAAATTTGTTTTCTGATGTCAACAAAACTAAAAATCTTATCTAGGTTATCAAAAGCAAACTAGAAATCAATAACAGAAAGATATCTGGAAAATCTCCGAATATTTGCAAATTAAACAATTCAGTTCTTTTAAAAAATGTTTTATTACTGTTTATTATTTATTTTTGAGAGAGAGAAAGAATGTGAGTGGGGGAGGGGCAGAGAGTGAGAGGGAGACGTAGAACCTGAAGCAGGCCCCAGGCTCTGAGCTGTCAGCACAGAGCCTAATGTGGGACTCACGGAGTGTGAGATCTTGCCTGAGCCAAAGTCAGATGCTTAACCAACTGAGCCACCCAGGCACCCGTCTTGGACTTTAAATATAAGAAAAACACTGTCAGAGTATTTTGGCAAAAAGACCCAGTAAGTCATGAGGAAATAAAGTAAGACTGGCACTTGATATTTTGACAGAAAGATTTTTGCAGATGCAATTGAATAATGTATTTAAGATACTCAAAGAAAGACATTTTAAGCTAAGGATGTAGCTTAACTGCCTTTCATGTATAAAAGTTTTAAAGACACAGTTATGAACATGTTAAGATGGGAAATATTGCTCCCACAGCCTTCTTGAGGAATCTCCTAGAGAATAAGCTTCAGAAGCCAACAGGAGAAATTCAACTTGAGTTTTGGTGGTTAGAGTTTTACAATAGAATTAGGGATAATCCAAGATCAATTAGTGAGAATAAGGTTAACAGAATATTATGTACTTTTTATAGGCTTGATAATATGGATATAATACAAATATCAAGAATGGGGAGAAAGCAGAGATAATAAATGAAGAGAAAATCTTGGGAATGAAAAGGTAATACTTGGAGCATCTGGGTAGTTCAGTCAGTTAAACGTCCAACTTTGGCTCAGGTCATGATCTCCCGGTTTGTGGATTCGAGCCCCGCATTGGGCTCTGTACTGACAGCCAGCTCAGAGCCTGGAGGCTGTTTTGCATTCTGTATCTCCCTCTCTCTGACTCACCCCTGCTCACACTGTCTCTCTCCCTATTTCAGAAATAAATAAAACATTAAAAAAAGTTAAGGAAAAAAAAGATAATACTTTAAGGGTGCCTGGATGGCTCAGTCTGTTAAGTGTCCAACTTTTTATTTTGGCTCAGGTCATGATCTCACAGTTTGTGGGATCAAGCCCTGTGTTGGCCTCTGTGCTGACAGCATGGAGCCTGCTTGGGATTCTCTCTCTCCCTCTCTCTCTCTGCCCCTCCCCAACTCGTGCACAAGCGCACGTGCATGTGTGCTCTCTGTCTCTCTTAAAATAAATAAAATTAAAAATGATAATACTTTAAACTAGATATTTGGGATAAAGGAAGAAAGAGAAAGAGATGACTAGCTAATTACTATATCGTTTGTAGTGGAAAGACAATATCAAAACGAGAGGGGACTGAATCTTCATAATATTCAAAGTTTTTCTTTTTTTTTAAAATTTTTTCACATTTATTTATTTTTGAGAGACAGAGAGAGACAAAGCATGAGCAGGGGAGGGGCAGAGAGAGGAGACAGGGAATCTGAAGCAGGCTCCAGGCTCTGAGCTAGCTGTCAGCACAAAGCTCAACCAGGTTCAAACCCATGAACCGTGAGATCATGACCTGAGCCGAAGTCAAATGCTTAACTGACTGAGCCACCGAGGCACCCCTCAACTTTTTCTAAGTCACATGGAAATTTTACAACATTGACTTATCACAGTCTGCAGAGAAAGTTTCAATGCATTCCCAACATGCAAATGAGATAGATGGCCTTCTGTGGTCATATATAATTCAATATAACTAGAAAATAATGACAGATTTTTAAGTCTTTTCCATCTAAGACTGTAAAAACACACTACTAGGCAATCTTTGTATCAATAGGAAATAGTAAAATAAAACTACTCCCCTCAAATCTAAGTATTTAAAAGGTCAAGAAAATAGACAAACCACTAGCTAACTAAAACAAAATTGGGGAGGGGAGAAAGGTTGGGAGGTATAAACACATGAAATAAATGATAATGAAATAATAACAATAAAATCAGAGGAAATACAGAAAAACTTACAGACAACTCTATGTACTCTATTGTACAACTCTATGGAAATAAATTTGAAAACCTAAACGAAACCATTTGAAATGGATAATGTTTCGGAAATACGTAAAGACATATACCAGTAAAAGATCCATGAATTTGACTATATAAAAATTCAAAAATAACTTTTA